AAGAATTGAGGATAAAAAAAAAGAATTGAGGATGAAAGGCATAGTAGAAATAGAAAATTACCATGAGCAAAATCTTTTTTGTTGTTTTTTGTTGGAACTGGAGTTTGAACTCAGGGCATCATGCTCACAAAGCACTCTACCACTTGAGCCACACCTCCAGTTCATTTTGCTCTGGTTATTTTGGAGATGGGGTCTCGTAAACTATTTGCCCGGGCTGGCCTTGAACTGTGATCCTCCTGATCTCAGCTTCCCAAGTAGCTAGAATTACAGAATGCTGACTAGCAATAAGTCTTTGTCAAAGCAATAAGTCTCTCAGGCAATATTTCAGGTAAGCAAGCAGATACTAAAACTTGTGGGCAGAATATGATAATGGGAAAAATTACTTGGCTCTTTATATTCCCCTAGAAGATACTTATTATTTCAAAGGGAGGAGCTGGGCACTAGATTCTAGGGACTGGAGATATGTCAGTGGTAGAATGTATGTTTAGCATTCAGGAAGCCCTGGGTTCAATCCCCACCACCACCACCACCACCGCCACACACATGAATGCAATACTAACTTTACAACAGGGAAACCTGGCAAATACCACCTTAACCAAGTAACCAAAGTTCTGATTGCCAATAATGACAAAAAGTGATGACTTGTGCTTACTCATCCAATTATGAGAACCACAGACAAATTGAAGGACCTCCTCAGGCACCTGTGCCTCATGCCTAAACTCTAGCTACTTAGGAGATACTAAGAGCAGGAGGACCGGGCAAATAGTGCCCAAGATCCCATCTCCAAAATAACCAGAGCAAAATGGACTAAAGAACTTGAAGTCTTGCTCAAGCATTAGAACACCACTTTGCAAGTGTGAAATCCTCCGTTTAAACCCCAGTACCAACAACAACAACAAAAAATTAAAGAGGATGTCAAAAAATAAATAAAATGGAAAGACTTCCCATGTCCATGGATTGGAAGAATTAATAGTGTTAGGGTGTCCAGAGTACCCAATTGATCTACAGATTCAATACTAATCTTACTTACTAATGTAAGAACTAATTACATTCTTTACAGAAACAGGAAAAAAACAATCCTAAAATTCATATGGAACCACAAAAGATCTTCAATACCCAAAGACCCTAAATAAAGCTGGAGTCATATTACATGGACTCAAGTTATAATATAAAGCTACAAGAATGGAATAAAGTCCAGATATGAGCCACAAACTCACATCAAGTGATTTTTGAAAAAGGTGCCAAGAACACACATTGAGAAAAGAACTTTTTTTTGTTTCTAATGATGCTAGGCAGAGTCCAAGGTGTCCATATACAGAAGAATAAAATTAGACCTTTACTTCTCACCACATACAAAACAACTCACAAGTGGACTAAAGACTTAATTATAAGACCAAACTATGAAACCACTAGAACAAAACCTAGAGGAAATGCTTGATGACATAGGTCTGGGCAGTGATTTTTGCTTCTCACCTCCAAAGCAAAAGCAATAAAAACAAAACCCAACAAATGGATTACTTCAAACTGAAAAGCATATGCACAACAAAGGAAACAATGAACTAAGTAGAATGACAATTTACAGGATGGGAGAAAATATTGTAAACTATACATCTGATAAGGAGTGAATAGTAGAAGTTTATAGGGAGCTCAGTAGGGAAACAACCAATAACCCTGCTTAAAACACAGAGAACAGGGACCCTTTACATACCACTAGTAGAATGAAAATTAGTAAAGCATTATGGAAAGCAGAATGCAGGTCCTTGAACTATTAAAAATAGAACTCCCATATGATCTAATGAAGCCACTACTGGATATACATCCAAAGGAAATAGAATCAGCAAAATTAGTATTTACACTCCCAAGTTTATAGTAGCCCTATTTAAAAAAGCCAACACATGGAATTAACCGAGGACCACCAACAGATAAATGGATAAAAAAATAGTATATATGCATGCAATGGAGTACTATTCAACTGTAAAATAAAACAAATTTGAAGTCCTGTCATTTGAGACATGGATGAACCTAGAGAACATTATATTAAGTGATAAGCCAGGCAGAGTTGAATGGTATTAACACAGGCTTGGATTTTTAGAGGGTAAAGGAGGGTGTAAAGATATTGATCAAAGGATCTATAATTAGGACAAATATAGTTAAAGCAATGTGTCCAGAATGGGCAAGTATAGAGACAGAAAATAGACTGATTGCTTGGGGCCCAGAGTGGGAATGTAGGTTAGGGGAAATGGCTACTAACAGTTTTGAAATTTTTTATGTCATCAAAGTGCTCTAGGAGCGTGATGGTTGCACAACTTTGTGATATACTAAGAAACATTTGATTGTGCACTGTAAATAGGTGAATTGCACATGTAAATCACATATCAAAAAAACCTGTGAAAATAGCACACAAAGTGTAATTATCCAATAATCCTAAGAAATTTCAACTCCTTTTTTTAGAGGTAACTAGTAATAGTTACGTTTCATTTGTTTTTCTTTTATACATATGTGCACACAATGTTTGGGTCATTTCTCCCCCCTTCCCCGCACACACCTTCCCCCCCCCCACCACCCTCTCCCTCTTCCCCCTTACCCTCCTTGCTACCAGGCAGAAACTATTTTGCCCTTATTTCTAATTTTGTTGTAGAGAGAGTATAAGCAGTAATAGGAAGGAACAAGGGTTTTTGCTAGTTGAGATAAGGATAGCTATACAGGGAGTTGACTCACATTGATTTCCTATACGTGTGTTACCGTCTAAACTAATTCTTCTCTAACTATAGGTTTCATTTTATGTCTTCATCTTTTTCTTTAATTATACATTTTTATATTTGTATACCAGATGCTTTTAATTAGTTAACAGTATTATTCTGAAATTGCTGCAATTGACAAAATATTTCTTGCAAGTTTTCCCTGTCAATACACAGTTTTCTCTCTTATTTCCTGTGATGTACAGAATTCTGTAGTAGAGATTTGTTCCACCATCCATCATAAAGCATTTAGATTATTTCCAATACTTTACTGTTTGATTCCTTGGCAACAACCCTTTCATATAAAGCTGAGTGTAGTCGTGCATCCTGGCACTGGGAAGGCGGAGGCGGGATTACCAGTTCAAGGCCAGCCTCCTGGCTGCATAGTGAGGTCCTGTCTCAAAAAAAAAGAACAAGGCCAGGCATGATGGCTCACAACTAATGCCGGCTACTTGAGAGGCAGAGATCCAAAGAGTTGTGGTTTAAGGCCAGTCCAGGCAAAAGGTTGCAATACCCTAAATCAACAAACAAGGCAGGTGTGGAGGTATATGCCTATAATTTCAGAACACAGGCAGAAGCCACAGGTAGGACTGTGGTTCCAGGCTGGCTTCCAGGAAAAAAACTCAAGACCCTATTTGAGAAGTAACTTGAAGCAAAAAAAAAAAGGGCTGGCGGTAGAGTCCAGAAAGGTAGAGTGCTTGCCTAGAGCACAAGGCCCTGAGCTCGCTGTACCCCAGCATCATACAAATTTTACAGTTCACATCCTTGGCAAATTAATTACCGTTGTAATATATGTTTATAGAAATAAACTTATTGGCATTTTCTTCCCATCGGTAGGTAAGAATGCCCATTTGCTAATGCAGGACTGACAGTGCTAGGCACTATTCTGGGTATTAGGAATGGAGCAGTGAATAAAACAGCATTATTTTTCCACCTCCTGGTCAAACAAGAGGGGAATATAAAGTTTACCATTTCATTTTTTTTGCCAATTTCAATTCTTTTCCTGAGATTTTGAGCGGCAGTTAACTTAAAGCAGAATGAATTATAGGAAACGTTTCTTCAAAAAGTTTTTTGAACCTACCTTAAAATAAGGATATTAGGAGAATCAAACAAGCTCTGCACATAAAGTACTTAGAACACTACTTGACAAGAAATGTAGTCGCTGAGGTAGATGCTATTTATTATTTCTCATTTTACAGATGAGAAATGTGAGGTTTAGAGATGAAAAAGAACTTGCTTTATATTGCATAGGTAGGAAGTGGCAGTACAAGACTTTGAACCATGTCTGACCACAATGCTACACAGTTTGACTTACTCTATTCTCATTGTCAATCCATATTTAAATTCTGTGGTACACACAAAATGTTGTTTTTCTCTCTCTCTCATTGTATTTACCATCTTTTCTGAATTTTGGATTTAATGTCATCAACAACAAAAAATACACAAGTAGGGATGACAAGTCATTAAATAACAAAGTCAACATTCAGGATGCAGTACAAAAAGTAACTTAGTAATTGATACGTAACTCAAACACAAACTGCTTACTTTATTTTTTAACAATAAAACAGTAATAGAAACACAATAACTTACTTGTGACAAAGCCATCAACAGAGTAAAGTAAGAACAAAACTAATAAACAGGCATTGCTTCAGCTCAAATTAGTTGTCTCCTTTAAACAGGAAAAACTACCACTAGTCTAGTTGGTCTCAATCCTGTCTACGCATTAAAAGAATGGAGGAAAGGAAGACTGGTGCTTAAAAAAAATTACCTGTATCTAAGGCCCACCTCTGAAAAACTAAACCAGCATTTCTCTAGAATGGGGCCCTACAAAGTTTTTTAAAGTGCTGCCAGTGTTGAGAACTACAGGTGTAAAGTAGTAAATGACACAAAACGCGCCCTCAAAGCAACTCAAAATCAAGAAACTACACACGATACACTTTCACCTTTCATTCTTAGTTTAACAAACATCAAATACTGGATGGAAGTGATTCAAACATGCTAGACAAATTGAAATTCTCACTAGTTTACCCTTATAAAACTCTTAAAACACTGGTTTTCAGAAAGAATCCCCCACATTTTAAGTTTGCATAGATGTTCACATCAGCTATTTGTTCAACTAAAAGAAGTCAATAAGATGAATTAGAAAGTATTTTGTTATCAGTTATTATAAAATGATATTTATTTCATGTACCACAAATAAACTTTTTGGTACAGAGAAGAGGAAGATTTAAGTGTTTCCCATCTATTTCTGAAACTGCCAGAACTCCTTTTTATAAGATCAGTATCATCAAAGTCAGAACCTAAACAAAACTCTTTTTTAAAAAAATGCATACACAAAATACTTAATATATCCTTGACAAATCTCTACTGGGAGGTTCAGTAGTAACAACGGGCATGTATCTTCAGAACAACCTTTCCTCATTTTTCAGGTTTGGAAACATCATGTCAAGTATGAAAAATAACTTTTCCATAACTTAAGAATACATGAATTCACTTAAAGATTTCTCCTTCAAATTCAGTGAATTCCACTTCTTCAGCTCTTTTTGTCAGGATTCCATATCAATCTCAACCACTTCATTCTTGCCCTGAAGTGTTGTTTCTGTCAGGTTGTCTTCACTTACATCTTCAATGTCTGCCAGGTCAATAGGTGGTAAAGGATTCCTCCAGTACTGGAACGTGTTATACTGCCAAAATTCTTCATTGTGCTTTAAGGAGAAAAAAAAGAGATGAAAATACATTAGTGGCAAAAGTTTGGCTTTTTTTTGTTGTTGTTGCTATTTTTTCCCCTGGAAAATGGTGATATACACCTGTAATTCTAGCACTCACTCAGGAGGCTGAGGCAGGAGGATACCAAGTTCAAGGCCAGTCTGCTACTAGCAAGACCTTGTTTCAAAAAAATCTCATAAGAGCTAGGGGTGTAGCTCAGTGGTAAAGTGTTTGGCTTAACATGTGTAAAGCCTTGGGTTCATCCCCAGCACCACAAAACAACAACAAAAATTAAATAATTTTAAAACTTCCTTTTTAGCATTTTTATTTTTACAAATATACATTTTTAATTCTGATGAATTAAAGTACTTCATGTATCCAATCAAATCTGTGCATTTTAATATTTGTGGATTTGTAAAAGTGTTTACTAATAAAAGAGTTTCCTCCAAGAGCATTTCTTTTCAGAATTTTCTAATTTTTCACTCAAAGAAAATGTCTCAAAATGATCCTGACATGTTTTAAACTTTCAATGAGGACAATAAAAATTTAAAAATACACATTCATTAACTTATTTTTGGTCTCTTCCCTGAGGTTTGGTTTTCTAAGAGACTGACATTAAATAGTTCAAAATATTTTAATGACCTTTCATAAAGTATTAAGATATTAACACAGCAAATAGAAGGAAAACATTAAATTGATCATTTGACTAAAAATATCTTTTAAATCAATATTAAAGTTTATCAATCCAAATGAATGGTGGCTCCTTAAAAATTCAGCAGCTTACTCTGAATGACTTACAAAATTATTTTAAGCAATGAAGTTAAAATTGGAACAAAATTTTCAAGCATTCCCAAAATGCACTGTGCAAAGAAAATAGCATAATTGCATACAGGCTTACAAGGTGGTGATACTTAACATTTATGCCCTTGCCAGATCAATATTCATGTTCCACCACGTCTTATTGTTACTTTAAGTTTCTACTTGCTATAGCAACACTGTCCAACAAAAATACAATGAAAGCCACATATGTAGCTTTCTAGTAACAGTAAAAAGAAACAAGTGGAAATAATTTTAGTATTTTATTTGATGCAATATATCCAAAAATATAGTTTCAACATGTCAGCATTTTAAAACTTAATGGTGCAATACATTCTCTGTCATTCTAGGTTTCACAATTTTCCAGCACTATTCAAACTAGTGAGCACGTTTGAGTGCTCAGTGGCAGCATGATTAGTGAAGAGCATAAGCCTGTGAGAAGACTCATTAGGAACCTGTGTCTTACATGTTAAGGCTTACTGAACCAAGTCTTTGGGGGAATCAATTAAAATTGGGATAAAAATATAATAAAGTCAAAAGATATCAAGAAAAATTTCACTTTAATAAGCAAACGGGATTGAAAAGGGTTTGAGCTGTCTACCTTTGGAAAATCTAATTGCTAAAATTACCTACTTACAAAGGTCCTTCAATGTTAATATAACCTAGGAGCTAAAAGTGCAAACTTTGCCACTAGGCAGACCTGGATTTGCATAACTCCACATCAGTTCTGATCTTCTCCGCACTGGTAATGTGGAGTAGAACCACTGTAAGACTCAAGGATTAGCATAGTCATTGTCCAATATTGCTAGGTATTACATCCCCCAGTGAATGTGAATCATTAATCACATTCTTTCTAGTAAAACACTTGTTTGCTTTTTGTTAAAAATACCTGACAGTAAGAGTCAACACTGGCAGAGCATAATATGATTCTATCATGAAAAAAAAATTTCAATACCTTTTAGTTCTCTACTTAAAAAAAAAAAATATCTGAAACAACATAGGCCATATTCGGAGGTTCCAGGACAAAAATGTTACCATTATTCTGCCTGCACTGCATTTTCCAATGTAGAATAAAGGTATTTGAGGTGGTTATTTCCTAAATGAGATCCCAGGGAGAGGACAGGAATTTAAGCCCTATTCTGAGCACAATAAAAACCAGGCAGACATCTATTACATGGCAACAGTTTTCTTATTTCTCTGTTTTTGTTATAACTTGTTTTCCCTTGGTAATTAGCTTAAAACAGAAAAGGTTACCTTGCTTAGTGCCAGTGGCTCACGCCTATAATCCTAGCCCCGCAAATAGTTCATGAGATTCTATGTCAAAAATACCCAACACAGGCAGAAGGGGAGATAAAGGAGAATGGTGGAGGGAGTGAATTCAACTATACTATAATGTAAGATCTTTTGTAAATGGCATAATGTACCCCAGTACAACAATAATAAAAAAGATTCAGGTTACAAGGCATGCACGGGTGGAGCGGGGGAAGCAACACAAAAAAGGACTGGCAGAGTGGCTCAAGTGGTAGAGTGCCTGTCCAGCAGAGGGGAAAAAAAAAAGGTTGTCTTTGGAGGCAGAAAAGCAACCGGGAAGCTGGACAGTGCACATTCTTCTCTTAGGTTTACAGAAGAGAAGCTGCTCAGGGAGCTATGCTGAAAAAGAAGGAAATTGACTGTTCCTGGGCTTTTGCCAAAAAGAACAGACTAGACTTGGTAAAGAAGGAGCCCTACAACCAAGCCTCTTCCCTGTGGTGAGCTTGCAGCAACTAATGCAAGTGAGAACTGGCAGGTAAAGTCACTTGTGTGTGAGATAAGACACAATACAGTTGTGCTAGCAGATTCTAGGCAGGCGTGATGTCAGTTTACTAAAAACTCCCCATTTCTCTATTTTCCTCTTATCAATTCTGTACATACCCACTCTGTACCCAATGTATTCTGGTGGAAAGACAAGCATATATATGGGTGGGACACCAAAAATAGTCTGAAGAGGAAGATTTCAAACTACACAGTACCTATCCACAGGTTTGAATGACCATCATCGTCTTAATGTTAGTTTTGAACATCTAATAGAAATTTAAAGAAAAAGTGTCTAAAAACAGCTCATTTTCTAATTTCCAAGAAAACTGGAAGTAATATTTATAATTCCATCCAGAAATGGTCATTATAGTGATTAAAAGATAATTTCTCACAACCATAGGGGGGGAAAAAAATCTTGATCTCAACTATAAAATTCTCATTATCTTACTAGACTTTTCTCATAAGCACGTAATACGAAAGAAATCTCTTTTTTTTTGGTATGGTAGCTCATAAACTCTGACATAAAGTACTTAAGACTAGGAAAATGATGGGTGGATGTGGCTGGTGCTTGAAGAGTTTGGTGAATTCTGAGCACTATACCTGGTTCTTCCACTCTTCCACCCTTAATCCCCGCCCCTCCCCTCCCCCGTAAGTTATCTCAGAACTGATTAAAAAAAAAAAAAGCAGCTTGAATTCTTAAGTCTACATCAGAGTTGTCAAATAAATTTGTGCCACAAACTTTAAAAATTTTCCAGTATTCTTACTAAAAGCGCTAAAACTAAGTTTATTCAATCTGACACACACAAGTTATTTCATATGTAACACTTTTGAGGTATTTGATATCTTTTTTTCAAGTCTTCAAAATCCACCGTGTTGTACACTGGCAGCACATCTCAATTTGAACCAGTCGTATTCCTGGTTCTCTCTCAGTAGGATTCGAGTTAGCAGCTACCAAACTGAACTTGATGGCTCTAGACAAATCAGACCCCAGGACTCTCAGGGGCCTAGGCGAGAAGAGGAGGCACTTCTCAGGGATCCCGGTATGTGCTTTACTGAGACACAGGTAATTTTCAACAATCCTATTTTACAGGACTGGATGATTTAACACTGAGCTTAAAAGGCTGTTCCCAAGATCCGGCGGTCAGTGCCCTCCGCCATGTACACCTCCTGCACCCCAATTAACTGATGACTACCACAGTGGCCACGCTTGGTCAGTCGTGCCACCCCTTTCTCCGACGTGGTCGTTGGTGAACCCCTGTGCTCGCAGCTATGGTCCTCGCCTCTTACAGCCTGCCGTCCACTCGGCCGGCGGGGACCCCGCGCTGCGCCTCTGGGATATCTTAACACAGGTCTGTAGCGGGACACTGCTCCCCGGGACGCGCGGTACCTGGGGAAAAGGGGGGGCCCTGCGCCCACAACCCCGCTGCTCCCAGGCCCCTACCTGGCGCGGTGCGGCCCCCCAGTCTCCCCGCCGGGGCCCTGCGCGCCCCGCCTCGTCGTCGCCACCGCCCCTCGGGGGCCGGGCGTCCCGCAGCTCCTCCCCCGGCCCGCGGGGCCGCCCGGGCAAGGCGACTGCGACGGCTCGCCGGTCTCCAGCCCGCGACTTGCAGGCTCCTCGCCCCCCGGGACGTCGCTGTCCCCGCTGCCTCGGCGCTTGCTGGGCGAAACCGAAAGCTCTGTCATGGCCCCCGCGTCGATTTTCCGCTTTCGGGGCTGCCCGGGGTGCGCGGTCCCCGACGGCGGGACCCAGAGCGGCGGCGGCGGCGGCTCCTCGGTGAAGTCGCAGAGCAGGAGCCGCTTCCAGGGCACGTGGAACGTCAGCGGCTCAGCCGCACGCCGCTTGGCCATGGGCCCGGAGGCTTGGGGAAAGCTGCGGGGGGCGGAGCGCACGAGGGCGGGCTAAGCCGAAGCGGGCCAGACGGTCGGGAAGGTGGAGGGGGCGGGGCGGCCCGAGCCCGGTGCCGCCCGCGCGCGAGGCCTTCGTCGGTGCGGAGGTGAGGCCCGGACGTTGAGCCGCCACGGCGGAGCGGCGGAGATTCGAACCTGCGCACAAGTGTGCGCGCGCGCATGCTCGTCGTCTGGCGCAGCCGCTGATTGGTGGAAGCCTTTAGGGCGCGTTCCCGAGCGCCCTCGCGGCCGGAAGTGCGCGCCCCGGGGGAGGCGGGAAGGTGGCGGCGGGCCGGTTGAAGATCGGGAGCCGCGGCTCGCGGGAGGCGTGGCCCTTTTCAGGGGCGGGCAGTGCGGTATGTGTCGGACCCTTCCTTAGGGAATTCAAGGCCTTCCACGTGAATGTGTCACTGTGTCCTTCCTCGTGTCAGTGACCACGGGGACGGCTCCGTGGGATTAGTTTTAAATGCGCTGGTGTTAAGAGGCTTTGCGCTTCGTTATTATCCAAACCGACTGAAGGGGAGTCGGGGTCGAGGGGAGTTAGCAAAAGCTAGCATTGAAAGAAGCAAAAAAGCAGTGTTTTGGGCGGCGTCTGCCCTGCAAAGTGGAGTAGGCACCACAGACCTGGAAGACCTTAAGAACCGAGTTGCAGACGGGATGTGTCTCCTGCAAAGTAGCTGGGTAGTGGCCAGAACCAAGTTATGACACAGGTCCTGTTTTAAACCGAAACCTACAATTGTTTGGATCTGAAATTATGTCGGAAGCCCCTAGGTCTCCGCTTTCTCGGCAGTGCTCAAATTGTAAGATCTTGATCATAGCAAAATTATGTGTTGCCAGACGAAGGGAGATGGAGACAATTGCAATACATTTGCGTTAGCTTATATTTTCATTGTTTAATAAAGACAGTAACCAAGTAAACAAAAATGATAGGAAGAAAATAAGGACTACTACTAGTGTTTGGAGGAAAGGAACTTAGACCCTTCTGGGGGGAGTGTGGAAGGAAGATAATTTGTTTTTTGTTTTTAAATATTGCCGCCGGGCGCCGATGGCTCACGCCTGTAATTCTAGCTACTCAGGAAGCAGAGATCAGGAAAATCACTATTCGAAGCCAGCCCGGGCAAATAGTTCTCGAGATCCTATCTGGAAAACCCCCTCACAGAAGTAGAGCTGGTGGAGTAGCTCAAGGTGAAGACCCTGAGGTTCAAGCCACAGTACCGCAAAAAATAAATTATTTCTTTATTTTTCCATTGTCCTGGGGACAGATGCCAGAATATGAGCTGTTCCTATGTGCTATATAATGGCACCGCCTTCCTTTCCCCTCACTTCAAAAATAATTCTGTTTTGAATGTGGAGTTCATCATCCCTTTTTCTTTGTAATTTCCCTATATCTGCCTGCGTGTGTGTGTGTGTGTGTGTGTGTGTGTGTAGCACTTTCTGCATTTTTTAAATAAATGGATTCATGCAAGTATATACTTTTCACTTGGCTTCTTTCCCTCAGTATATTTGAGATTCATACGTTTTGTTATGTGTTTACTTTTTATTGCCAAGTAGCATTCCATTATATGGGTATATCACAACTTGTTTATTCATTTGTTGATGGGTGTGTGGGTTGTTTTTAGTTATTACAAAGTTGCTGAAAACATTTGTGTAAAAGGCTTTGCATGGACATAGGCTTATTTTTCCTAGTGCTTTTAACAGCTGAATACCTTCATAGCACTGGATGAGAAATGGTTTTTTTGCCACATCCTTACCAGTAAACTCAGAATGTTCTGACCTGATCAGTGTGAAATAGTACCTCACTGTGACTTCAGTTTGCATTTCCGTCAATGAAGTGAGCCATATTTTTATGTTTATAGGCCATTCTTGGTGCAGTAAATCCTGGCATTTTACCCTTCATGGTTTCTTTTGCTGAACAAATTCTAAACTTAAATGTGGTTTAAATTATTGGCCTTTTGTTTCTGGTTATGGATTTTTGTTTTGATCTCATTTAAGGGGCAGGCCCTTTCACCACCACCTCTGTCTCAAAACGCCATTACCTAGACCCCAGTTTCTGCTTGGCCTAATTTGGATAACTAAACTTGTATAAAAGGACTATTATATCTTTAGCTCTCTTTGAAAATTGGATTTTTTACCTTTTCTGGTTTACATTCTGAAAGTAATTCTCTTACAGAAGGTGTTGTAAATATTATAAATATCTTCTCTCAGTTTGTCTTATATTTTCATTCCATGTGGCTTAATTTTAATGTAACAGAGTTTATCAGTCTTGTCTTTTTTGGTTTGCACATTATGTCTTGTTTAAGAAATTCTTTCCTGTGCCAAGTTCTAAATATTTCATGTTTTTGCTTCAATATTTGTATCTTTCATCCACTTGGAATTGATTTGTGTATATACACAATGAGGTTAAGGACTCAAGTTTGTTTCTGTTCCTTATAGAGAATAACTAGTTTTCTCAGCACCACATATTGAACAGTTGTCCTTTCTTTGTACCTGCTTTAAAATCAATTTTTCATAAATACATGTAACTGTGGGGAGCTCTCTTCAACTGGTCGATCTGCTATCCATGCTAGTAAAACAGTGATTTAATTATTATAGCTTTGTAAAAGGTTTTTCTAGACCAGTTCGCAACATTTTTTTTTTTCAGGCATGTTTCAGCTACACTTGGCCCTTTGCTCTTCTGTATGACTGTGGCATTTTCTTTTGGAATTTTGGAATCTCTGAGACAGCTCATTCTCTATGGGAATGAGTTCTTTCTTTCTTGATAAACTTTGCTGTTCTTAATAAACTTTTGTTATTACTTTCGCTATGTTTTCCATCTTGCTTGAAATCTTTCTTGCAGGAACACAAGAACTGAGGACCCCAACTAAAGCTCCTGGAAACTATAGTACAGATCAACTTAAGGAGAATTTTCATCTTTATAATACTAACTAAGCCCACTCCCTGTTCAGGAATACAGTTCCAGGGGCTGGTGGAGTGGCTCAAGTGGTAAAGCACCTCCTAGCAAGCACTAGGCCCTCAGTTCAAACTCCAGTATGGGAGAAAAAAAAAGAATATACCTCTAATTAGATTTTTAAATGTCTTTCAGTAATGTTTTATAATTCTCAGCATAAAGGATTTATCTTTTGTTAGCTTAATTCCTACTTTGTAATTTTTGTAGATAGTATTTGTTCTTTCCCTAAATGACATTTTTCTGAGTTAGAGTTCTGTAAGATGGAGATTAGTTTACCCTAGGTTGTAACTAGTATTCAAGGAATTTGTCCATTTTATCCAAGTTGTCAATTTTGTTGGAACATGTTCTCTACTTTCTGTTTCATTGATTTCCACTTAATTTCATGTTAGCCTTCTTTCTCTCACTTCTTTGGTAAAGCCCATGGTCATTGATTTTATCCTTTCTTCTTTTCTAACATAAATTATAATTTTGTTTCACCTGTAGCCAACAAATTTTATATGTTGTATTTTCATTATCTTTCAATTTGAAATATTTCTGAATTTTCCTTTTTGTTATTCTGCCACCTTTTCTGACTTCTTTTAGAGTAATTTAATATTTTGGATTTCACCATTTAACCTACTGGCATTTTTGCATTAGTACTCAATGGTTGCTCTATGGATACTACGTCTTTTACTTTTCAGTCTACCTAAAGTTAACATTGTATCATTTCATGCCACACATAAGCACCTTACAATTCATTTTTACATCCATCTAGTAGGCTCTTCTACCTATTCTCTACTTGTCCCATTTTTTTGTATAAAAAGCAGTCCGGTTCTTTTCTCAACACTTTTTTTTGTACTACAGTTTGAACTCAGGGCCTCACACTTGCTAGGCAGGCACTCTTACCATTTAAGCCACTCCGCTTGCTTTTTTTCATAATGAGTTTTTTTGAGATAGGGTCTGGTGAACTGTTTGCCCAGGTTGGCTTCAAATTGCAATCCTTATCTCTGCCTCCTGAGTAGCTAGGATTATAGGCATGAGCCATCAGTGCCCGGCTCCCAATACTTCTTGATTTCTTAAGCATAACGACTCAGAAGTTATTGTTAGTAGCAAAATAACAAAGGGAAACTTTTTTTCAGTATTTTCACACTAAAGAAGGGATATACACTCATGAATTTACTCCCTCCCTCCCCCATACACACTCAGACAGTTTCACTATGTTGTCATGGCTGTTCTCCAACTCAGGCTCAAGCGATCCTCCTGCTTCAGCCTCCCCAGTCCTGGAACTACATACTTGAGCCACTGTACCTGGCTTTATTCTTCTTACTTTTAAATTTACCTGCTTCAGACTGATTGAAGCCTCACAGCAGTTTAAGGTGGGGAAGTGGTTTAAAAAGTTTAACAATGATTTATTCTCCATACCTTGTAAATATCTCATTTAATCCTAAAATCTTGGACGATATTGCGAATTAAAGAGAACCTCTTCTCTGAGCATCAGAGCCAAGTCTACTGCTGAGTTAGTCCAACTCTGACAACCTGTTTAAAATTGCAACTGATTCTACATTTCATCTTATCCTTTCTTGGCCATACAGGGGCTTGAACTCTGGACTCTGAACCACTTGAGCCATGCCTCCTTGGTTTTTTTTTTTTTTTTTTTGCTTTATTTTTCAGGTAGGTCTTATGTTTTTCTCTAGGCTGGTCTCAGACCCTGATCCTCCTACCTGTGCCCTCCCACATAGCTGGGATCACAGGTATGCACCACATGCCTGGCTTATTGAGATGGGGGTCTTACTATTTGCTTGGCTGACCTCCAACCTCAGTGTTCCCAATCTGCCTCCTGAGTAGCTGGTATTACAGGCTTGAGCCATGTGCTAGGCCTCCCTTATTCTTGATCCCCCCTCAACCTATTTTTCTCCCACAGCACTGTCACCTTCCAATCTATTATATAATTCACATTTGTTATTATTCTTGTCTCCTTTAAGCACCTGGAGATAGGTTGACTATTTCTTTTTTGCCCACTAAAGCACCTAGAACAGTGCCTAGCATTTATTAAGTACTAAGCTAATCTTTGTTGAATGAGTGACTAACATTTCTGTGTGGGTGTTTCGCACACATTACTATCCTCCAGTGTCTCCTATGTGGTATCAGTCATCCATCCATGTACTCATACCAGAAGTATTCACTCATAGTTCAGTCTTTGAATAAATATTTTGAGCATCTGTTGTGGGCCAGGCAAAATTCTAGATATTGGAATCACAATGAACAAAACAAAAATCCCTGTCCCCTCTCAGTGAAGCTTACATTGGAGAGATAAACAATAGTAAGTCCATTTCTCAGATGGTGAGGATAATTTAAAATAAGGCAGAATAAGAGGAATAAGGAGGGTTTATGTACGTGGTCAGGAAGTGGGAGTTAACCAGTGTTAGAAGGTAAAGATTGTATCTCCCTCAATAGCACAGGGCAGGTTTATTGCCCATGTCTTTCATTGGGGGAAGTCAGACATGCTTACTACTTGCTTGTTATAAGATGAAGGGTTCCAAGGCAAATTATAAAAGATCTCCCATGCTTGGGTTCCTCTCCTGTAATGAAACCCAAATGCTTGTAGGTTATCATCTGGCACTCTTTCTTTTTGTTTTTGACGGGGGGGGGGGACGGAACTGGGGCTTGAACTCAGGGCTTCAAACTTGCAAAGCAGGTGCTCTACCACTTGAGCCATACCACCAGTCCATTTTGCTCTAGTTATTTTGGAGTTGGGGGTTTTGCTATTTGCCTGAATTCATCTCAAACCATGACTCTCCCAATCTTAACCTCCCAAATAGCAAAGCATTACAGGTTTAGGCCACTGGCACCTGACACTTTTTAAGGCACTCTGTGGGATCTGGGCCTGAGGGACCTACTGGAAAACTGATACTCTGGCTACTGTTATTACTGCGTGTAGTAAATAGCCCTTTGTTTTTGACTGAGTCTTCTGTCTTCATTTATGATACTGTGGCAGACTAACTTCCTAGCTAAAAAGTAGAGTAAAATATCACATCCTTTATAATTGACACCTTCAGCCTCAGATGAAATGCCACCCAAGTCATGGGATCTGGTCTCACCACCAGCTTGAGTCAGATGGCACAATTTTGAAGCCCAGGGTCTGTATTATCTTCCCTTAGGCAAACATTCTCTTTCTGATGGACTCTTTTTCTTGGTGCTGAGGATTGAACCCAGAGCTTCACCTATGCTAGGCAAGTGCTCTACTACTGAGCTACACCCCTAACTTCTTACCTGCCTGTTCAGAAATGTCCTTGTGTTGCCCAGCGAGTGTGTCTCTTTGTGAAGCAATGGTGGTGAGTACATGGGACAGAAAGCAAGGGATTCTGGAGGATGGACACTCATTGGATGCTGGAGGTACACAGAAAGGATGTAGCAGCAGTGCTCAGGCATTGAAGATGGACTCAGTTGAAATTTCAATGCTTATAAAAAATTTCCTGCCCATCACCATTGCATACTTTCCCTGTAGACTAGCCTCCTCTACTACTGGTCACTCCCAGCTAGGGAGAACTTGGTCTCTTGGCAGCTGTGCTATTGCACCTGATGAACATCTTAAACTTCATCTTCTATGTTCCTGTAGGAAATGGTAGCATATTAATTATGCTGACAGGGTGTGGACAGACCATGCAATGGGGAAAGAAACTGAAATTTTCAAGGGCTCATTTTCAGAGCCTTAGAAAGCTGAACTGGCAGGTGTTGGGATGGCAGATTAAAACAGGAAGCCAAAAGGAATATAACAACAAGGCTTTAATTACTTGCTGAAGTAGTATAAGCAAGAAGCTAAACCAGAGGAAAAAACCAACTTCCCTCTTTCCATGCCACCCCTCATCCAGTGTGCAGGCCAGGTGGATTAACATAGATGAGCCCTCTGTCACTGCTTAGAGAGAGCCCTGAAAAGGCTACTGCAGTTTTGTGGATGGGCAGGGATGAAGAGTGTTATGGTTTGGAATCTAAAATGTACTCCCAAAAGCTCATGTCTTAAATGCTTGGTCCCCAATACAGCAATGTTCAGAGATGGGGCAAAGTGACTGGATCAAGGGGGTCTGACCTCATCAATGTTATTAATTCACTGATGGGTTCATAATTTGATGGGCTATGGGAAGGAGATAAAAACTTCTGAGCAGTGCTCAGGCACTGGACCCAACTGAAGGGAGTAGGTCCTTAGGGCTACATCTAGTCTGCAACCCCTTCGCCTTGTGCATTCTCCTTCTATGCTTCTGCTTCCCACCTGCCATGAGTTTTGCTATGCCAGATGGTCCCCACTACCACCAAAAACACAGCCAAGTGACTATGGACTAAATACTCTGAAATGTTGAGCCAAAATAAACCTTTCCTCCTTCAAGTTGTTTATCTCAGATATTTTGTTATAAGGATGGAAAGCTAAGACAAGATAGAGAGGAAGAAGGACTAGGAGTAGAAAACACCAAGTCAGAGTAATGTGTCTTCAGGTTCTCCTCCTTCCCTAGAAGGTCTCAGCAGAAGTACCCACGGAAGGACTCTGCCAAATGCCCTTGTAGAGAGGCCTCCCGGTGGTAAACAACAATTCAAGAAAATGAACCCAGAGAATCTAAATGCTTGTCCTACTAATGTCTGGTCCTGGAACTCTTTTCTACTGTTTGCCTTTGTAGTTCTTTTTCTATTATTTAACAAAACTGAAGATCAAGATTTCTATTATTTAACAAAACTGAAGATCAAGATTCAAGGTTTTTTCCTTGGTGGATTCCAACAGCACTATAGTGAACTTGAACGAAACAAAGTGAAAACAATTAGTACAAAGCCTGGCAAACTCAACAGTCAGATATTTATGTTACTGGCTTTTTAAAAGCTTACAAAATTAGGCTAAGTTTTAAAAGTGTATGTGCTTAATTAATTAAAATTCCCATGTCTACTGTTATCACTAACTTAGATGGAAACAACCAAACAAATATTGTTTCATAGCAATTGGCAGACTTTAATATTTAAGAAAAATTAAGTCCATCATACACATTAAAAATATAGGAAATTTCATGCAGGCATGAAGCTTCCAACTCAGCCTTTGTGGCAACTTTTAATGAGAATTACATATAAATACAGTATACTTTACAGTCCCCAAACTTCATAATTTTATACTGTGATTTATACAGTTTTTTGTGTATTTTATATATCCCGTTTTGCTTTTTGCACTTGATTAACATGTCCTAAATCTGCACCACTTCAGAATATAGAATATTTTTAAATGTAAGCATAATGATTACTTTATGAAAATGAAAACATTTGTGTATAAAGCTAATTTAAGGAAAAAAAATTAAAACTTTAAGGCTTATATACTTTAATAGCTAGGACAAAACTTAAGAAGTACAAAATTAAATAAGCCCTCCAGTGACGTCTATTACTGATACCATCTCTTCAAGTTTAGAATCTATTAACTGTAAAAGCTACAATAGAAAAGGTGATACAAATTTGTATAGGACATTTAAAAAATAATACTCATGATATGAGGGAGAAATTAAAAACACATAATAAAACAAATCCACTACTGTCAACCACCTGTTTTTGCCTTTGTGGGAAAAACAAAACTCATCTGTTTTGATACAGGCTATAGAAGAGTAAATACTAGTCAGTGATTAAAAAGCAATTCGAAATTACTCAAAAATGTGCACTCGTTGCTCTTCAAGGGGGGGCTTTTCCCCTATCGATGAATTTCAATTTCATTCATATAAGTAATGAGAATTCCCATCAAACGAACATGAGCCAAGTACTGAGGGAAAAAAGAATAGCAAATAGTTTAAAAAACAAATCAACTCATCAACAAACAACCTAAGTTATAGACTTCCCTAACTTGACAAGTCAGATTACCTCCACAGAACCCTCTACTGCATAGTGGAGTAAAGATCACAAAGGCCCCTCACTGTATGCAGAACCTCTCCCAGCTAGGAGCATAAAAATCCTGCAAAACCTAAGTGAGATCTTAAAATTTACAAGTAAGTTTTCCCACAAAAACATGACATTTATGCCACCAGCACATCAATCAGATTGTCCATGTAATTCAAACTGCCACAGAGGTCACTTAAAGCAATCAACAAACATCTGTGAAAATACTCAACAAGACATCTTTCTTTTCTCCAAGAAAAGGTTAAAACATTAGTCATCTCTGCTTTCCAAGTGACTGGAGACAATAACAAATGTAATAATAGTTTCAACAGAAAAAAAATACCAAACAAACTCCCTCCAATAAAGATCTGCTAGAGGTAGAAATTTGAAGCAGCACACAAGCTATAATTTAAGCTCTGTCTATCAGGGAACAAAAAGGATGTTAATCTGAAATTACATGAATGGTTGCTGCTTACCATGTTGAAGACACAGACCATGGGCAGTAATTCATCCCTGAATTTCATATTCAAAATTTCCCACATTCATACCATTATGCCAGCTTTGACTAGTATATAATTGTTTTAACTAAAAAAAAGTGCTTGCTTTCATAAACCAGATAATCTAAAGAAAAGACATTGTTGTAAACATCACACTAACAAACTAATCATTTCTATTTTGAGATATTTCATACGGGCAGATTTTATTCTTATCTTTCCAGTTTCCTCACACTACTTTAAAAAGGGCTTTTGTGCCTTATTTAGAATGCTGAGCTCTCATACACTTCAAAGTTAACCATGATGAGGATGCTTTCATAAAGTGTTGAGTTTAGTGTAAAGACAGTTTCTCAGTTACCTGAATATTTTACTGACCTGAATTTATTTTACAATTAAATTTAGCATTTCATGATAGTGAGATGTTTGATGCTCCTCTAAATTTCAGCTGAACTAGGAAAACAAACAAAAACTAATTCAAATGATAAAAGAATAGATTATGTACAGATTGCTCAGGTCCAACGTGAACAAAAGTCCCAGTTCCAGATGTTGATTGTGACTGAGGATCCTTAGACTCTTCTAAAAATAACATGTGCAACGCACACAAAACCATTAAAAAGTAGATTATTATGGACTTCAATACTATCAGTCAGTAATATGGCAGACTTGTAACAGACAGCTTCATGAAGACATTGGAGTTTAGGTTTTTTTCCTACTGAAAGACAATTCTGGGCTTCAAAGAAAAAATGAACGTGAAGATATTTCCTCCATTTTTACTTGTGTAGTACAAATATGCATGGCATTAGTATATTTCTGAAAAAAGCAGTAGACATTATTAAGAAAATAGATACTATTTCTAAATTTTGTAAGGAATAAGAAGGCACCACTGATTTGAGGTTATGTCCTGTCATCACTGATAGTTGATTTTGTGTTGTTTATTTCAGCATTTACTCTTACTAAACTGTTTCCCGGGTGATATCACATAAGAAAAAGACCATTATTGTGGTTTACGGACCACAAACAAGACACATTCATAGTAGTATTTCATCATAGAGAGGTCATTCACAGTATATGTTGATAATACAGATTCTTTTTCTACCTGTAAGAGAAACAAAAATCATGATTATCATGATGACAATACAACTAAGAAATGCTGAGCACTTTTATGTGGTAGTTATTACCTTAAGTATACATCCACTTGTCACAACGACTGCCTCCATAAGATTCGTACTATCAGTAATCTTTTACAAAGAACAGGCTACACAGTTATTCAAGATCATACACCACTAATACATGGTAGAACTGAGATTCAAACTCAGACAGTCTTAATCCAGAGCTTGAGATCTGAAACCACTTTAATACATTGTTCTATTCGTCTTTTTTTTTTTTCCTGGCAGGTCTCAGAGTGTTATGTGGGTTAATCTCCTCTGTTTATTCTTAAGAACAAATCTATTTGTTATTTTTTAAATGAATGGAATGCTTATAAGTTAATGAATAGAAACACGATAGCCAAACCCATGATTAAAAAGATCATGCAGGACAAAAGAACTTAGAGAACTAAACTCCTTTCAGTTTTAGTAGACAGGCCGGAGACTTGTCTACTTCCAGTGTTATGATGATCAGCTATCACTTATTGAAAACTTATTTCCCCAGCTTATAGTCTCCCTTCATGTACACATTATCCCAAATCTTTATCTACATTCCTGTTTAAAGGCTTTGAAGGCTAAACTTTGGCAATATTTTATTCCATCCTTACCTCTAGCTGAAATCCATATTGCAGAACAACATTTTTTATATCCTCATAGCTCAATTCTATGGAAAGTTCATTTGCCAGATTTTCAAAATGGTACAGAAGAGGACCTATAGGTTAAAGACACTATGAGTAAATTACTTGAATATAAGCATGTACTAGTAGCTATATTAGACTGAATTTCAAGTTTATTACGTTGAACACTGGATGAGACAAAAATAAAAAGGAAAAGAACCATTATATTTGCTGGGGACAATTATCCAAATCTCTGATACTTTGGCCCAGTAACTAACATCTGAGAGCTGGGCCTATAAGCATGGCGAATCCCTCTGTGTATACCTGCCCGGCAGTGTGACTATCCACATCATGGACCTTCATCTGTAACTCTTCAGTTACTGAAGGAGTAGCTGAATCACAGAATGTTAAGTCCCCAAACTCCAAAGGCATATTGTAATTATAGTTCTGTAAGTAAATGCAAAACTGCAGTTACAAACTAGTTATCATAAAAAGAGAGGATTATGTTAGCCTGGATAAGAGTGTGAAGGTGGAGAAAAATTTAGGGAAGGCTTCCAGGAAGGAGGTTACACAAACGCTGGCTTTTGTTCTTTCTTCTTTTTTTTCAGTACTGGGACTTGAACTCAAGGCCTTCCACTTGCTATGCAGATGCTCTAACACAAGCCAAAGGGGGCTTTTTAAGTGCACTGTCATGTCCCAGCTACCCTAGCTCCGACTTATAATTGTGTGACTATGGGCAAGTCACTAAATCTGTTTTATCATTAGCATGACCTTAATGTGAAATAATATGCAGTACACTTGGCATAAATACAGCACTGAGTAAATGACAGGTATTGCACCTATTTTTATGACTTTCTTCCCTTTACTGTTCTCTCATTCCATATATTCAGGGAATTAACATCTGGTTGAAACTAGAAATTTTCACTTTCTCTCTCTCACTTTTTGCCCAAACCATAAGCCTCATCCAAGGCAACATTAACAGTTATACCTCAGACTAATTTAGACCGCCTTCTCTTTACCTTTCATTAAGTATAAATCTTGCATCCTCTTTTCTACCCAACTCTTCATATAATGTGCTAATCATGGCAGATAAAAATAACGAATGGGACAAAGTTTCTGCTCCTAAGAGGCTCACTATCCTGTTGATCATATGCAGGGTAAAAGTATTTCTCACCTTATTTTTCTTTTCTCTGATTGGTGAGACATGGGTTTGAATTCAGGGCTTCATGCCTGCACAGCATGCACTCTACAGCTTAAGCCACACCTCTAGTCCATTTTATTCTTGTTATTTTGAAGATAGGGTCTTGCAAACTATTTGCCTGCACTGGCCTGGAGTCATGATCCTTCTAATCTCAGCCTCCCAAGTAGTTAAGAATACAGGCGTAAGCCACCAACGCCTGGCTCTTCCCCTATTTTTTTTATCCTCCATAAGCTATTAAACAAAAATGACCTTGAGTATAATTTATTTAATGTTAGCACTTTTTTCAAGAGATAATAACAATGGTTCCTTATCAAACTACTTCATCAAACCTAAATTACTGTTAGTTGTATTAGTACAGTAAAAATGATGGCAGCTACCATTTACTAGGCACCTGCTGTGTCCTTAACTATTCTCCAGTACCCTTTTATAAGAATGTAGAGCCTCATGGCAAACTCCAGCTTTTAGGGTTTATTTTGTTTCTGCTTTATTTCAAAAGCCTCTGATGATATGGTTTTACGTGTGTGTGTGTGTGTGTGTGTGTGTGTATACTCCAGTGATTCTTACACTCAAGCCACATTTTTACCTCTATTCATGATATTTGTGTTCAATCTGGAGAAAGCTCCATTTTTTCAAACTCAAACTTTAGTCATGCTTGAAAACCTTGTTGAAATAAAATCTCTTGCAATTGCTTTAAGTGGGGTGGGGAGGTTGAGGTGGGGAGATGGTAGGGGCAACCTAACAAATGTACAGTATAAGCCTATTTGGAATTGTCACAATGAATCCCCCCTGTACAATGAATATATCCTAATTAAAAAAAAAAGAAACCCTTGTTGAAATCCATCCAAGTCTTCAGCCCTACTGCTCATCCTCTTAACAGTGCATATATTAAAACTCATTTACTCCAACAGAGGATTGCTCACTGATTATTTTCATGTTAAGTGGCACTGTTTTATAACTAGTTTACAAACTACATGCCAAGAAACATCTTAAATTTCTTTTGAATCTACCAAAATGCCTTGAATAGTGCTGAATGTACATTTTAAGAATCTCTAATTTTACCAAAGAAAACAGCTGTGGTATGTCTTCTATTATAAATGGTGCTTTGACAAATATTTCTGTACATTGCAGATTTTCCCTTAAAAAGATGTTTCTTAAAGGTCAAAAAGAATTAAGCATTTTTACTGATTTGATTTAGATTGCCAAAATGCTTTCCAAAAGAGTTATGGGCTAACAGTCCTTTATCTGAAATACTTGGGACAAGTGTTTTGGAATATTTTCATGTGTGTGTATATATATGTATATGGTGCAGGTTTTGTTTTTGTTTGCAGTGCTGAATGAACTCAGGGCCTTGTGCATGCTTCACAAGTACTCTGCTACGGAGCAACACCCTCAATCCCTGAAGGTAATTTTTTGCAACATTTTTAGTGCACGTGTATTCTTATGGTGATCCATAACATGAAGTCAGATGTGGAAACTTCCATCTGCGAGAACAAGTTGCTGTTGCAGTGGAGCATTTCATTTTCATTAGGGATATTCCACCTGTATAAATTTTCAGTCACAATTTAATGAGTATTTGTTTCAATACCTTAGCAACTGGTGGTATGCAATAGTACAGTTACTTTGAAAAACAGGTTGATATTTTCTTAAGAAGTTGTAGACACACTCACCATATATGATAAAGCAAGTCTATTACTTGATAACCCCAGGGGAAATGAAAACTTACAGCCACAGAAAGATGTGTTCACATGGTTATAGCAACTTTATTCATAATCATAATAATGTGGCAACAACCTAAATGTCTATCAACCAGTAAATGGATAAACAAAATACAATATATCCAGTAGAATATGACTCAGCAATAGAGGGGCGCAACCTATGCAGCAGCATGGGTGAATCTTTTCAGATTCACAGCATTACACTAAGTAAAGGAAGCCAGAGACAAACTTACTGTATGACTACTTTTGTGACATTCTGGAAAAGGGAAAACTACAGTAACAGAAATCCAAATAGTGACTGTCAGGTATGAGAGTTAGGAGTGAAATGATGACAACAAAGCACAGAGAACTTTGGGGGTGATGAAAATGAAACATTCCACAGCGAAGTGGTTACATGATTATCCATCAAAATGTACATTTTTCAAAAAGGAGAACTTTATTATATGTCAATTAGATCTCCAAAATATCTGATTTCAAAAAAAGAAAAAAAGAATTTTTATTAAACAAAATACTTCCAAATTTGTTACAGGGGAAATGATAGGATGTACATTAATAATTTGAACTGACATTTTTACTGTGTAGATGTTTTAGGACTATTTATCTATTCCATTGCTTTTAGAAATGTAGATTTGGTCTAAGTTTTTGCTGGGTATGTCTGCCCATTAACCAGTCTTTAGTCTTTGCCCATACCTGATTATTTTCCCCAGTCAGACTTCTACAGGTGTAATTAATAAGGTATATAACAGTGAATGTAATTGTGTGATAGACCAGATGGCAAATATTTTAAGCTTTGTGAGCCACATATGCTACCATTTATTTGTGTTTCTCCCCTTAACCATTTAAGAATAAGAATTAAAAATCCTACCTGATAAGGCCATACAAAATAATAGGCTAACAGTCAAATTTAGAGTATAGGTAAACAGTTCCCTTAAATAGCTCGACAGCTTTCCCTAACAATGGGGAGTGTTAAGAGTATCTCAAATTTCCTTTAAAGCATTTTAAAGACTAGTAATCCTCCAACTCTGACTTGATGCAACTTAGGCAATATTTTCCTAATTTACTTTCATATAGTTTGTCAGTATTAGAGGACAGCAGCAATTGTGTTTCTCCTTATATGTGAATATACTCGTATTCTAAGTCTATGTATGCATAGAGCAAAACACCCTTAAGGGGCTGATACACTTGCAGTTTTCAGAGAAAAATAAGCCTCCAGATCCATATGGCTGAAGTAAAAACCAAGAGAATGTTAAGAATTGCCAATACAGATGCCACTTTGTCAGGTCTCTTGGCAGCCAAGCTCCCTCTCAGATACCTGAACATACTTTGTTCCTTCTTTCAAATCTGGAATGATCCACTCATTCACATGCACAATATATCCACTATTTGCCAGCCAGGCTCTATACCAAGTGGCTAAAAAAGCATTAGAACCAGCTCTCATCAAGTTTAGAGAGGACAGGAAGCAAGAGGGGGAGAAAGCGGAGACCTAAGACAGAAGAAAGATCACAAAAGGCCCTATACGTAATCCTGGAGAGTTTCAGTTTTTAAGAAAGCTAGAGCTTCATGCAGGGAGGCATAGATTTACACACTGGAAAGATCACTGGTGAAAATACTGAGACATGCAAAGGCCATAAAAAACTGCAGACAACTGAAGGACAGGGACACAGTAAGAAACTAATCCTAACCCAGACAAGCAATTATTAAGGTGAAGCAATTTTTTTCCCTACCCAGGGACATTTTCCAATGTATAAAGACAGTTTTTGGTTGTCATAACTGGGAGGTACTACTGGTAGTACCCTGGTAGAGACCAGGGATGCTGTTAACTGACTTATAACAGAGAGACCCAATCATCCCCAAATTGAAGAATCACATGCCTTTTGGGCGGGGCATGTCAGTAGTGCCATAGGTGAGAAACCATTATAGAGTTTTAAGAGATTCAACTTGCGCTAATGGCCCATGCCAGTAATCTTAGCTACTTGGGAAGGTGAGACTGGGAGGATCACTATTCCAGGCCAGCTGGGTTAAATAGTTGATGAGACCCTCATCTCCAAAATAACCAGAGCAAAATAGACTGGAAGTGTGGTTCAAGCGGTAGAGCACCTGCTTTGCATCTGCAAAGCCCTGAGTTCAACCTCCAGTCCCATTCAGTGGCTCACACTTATAATCCCAACTACCGAGGAGACACTGGGAATTTCACAGCGTGAGGCCAGCCAGGCAAAAAATCAGCAACAGCCCATCTCAACAAACAAGCCGAGTGTGGAGGGGGCACATCTATAATCCAACCTATACAAGAAGCATAAGTAGGGGAACTGTGATCCTACACCAGCCAGGAAAAAAAGCAAGACCCTATCTGGAAAAATAACCTCAAGCAAAAAATGAGCTGATGGTGTGGCTCAAGCTGTAGAATGTTTGCCTAGCAAGTACAAGGCCCTCAGCTCAAATCCTAGTACAACAAAAAAATTTAAACTTTCATATTAACTGGATGCAGACGGTAAGGAATGTTCATGTTCATTACTACCCTTCCTAATTTATAGGAAGCCCTAATCCCCAGCATAGTTACATTTGTAGATAGGGCCTAAAAGGAAATAATTAAAGTTAAATGAGGTTATTTACTAAGGATTTACTGAGGATTCAACCCAGGCCCTTGCATGCTAGGCAAATGCTCTACCACTTGAGAAAGGACCCCAGCCCTCACTTACACTCTTTTGTCCTCTTTTCCCCAACCCCAGGCCCAAAGAGCCATGTGCAACCTGTGAGGAGAGCCCTTACTGGATGTCAACCTGGCTGGAACTTTACTCTTGGAATTCCAGTAAACTATCCAATCTGTGGTATCTTGTCATGGCAGCTCAGGCTAGCTAATAATAATAAAACCAGTTTGTTGGTTGGTGGAATCTGAGTAGATGATAAGAAAGGTACCAGGGAAGAATGGACATCATCTTCTTGAGACACAGTTTTTTGTTTTTTGTCTGAGCCACTCCACAAACCCTTTTTGGTGTTGGGTGTTTTCGAGATAGGGTCTGTTTGCCCGGGCTGGCTTCAAACTGCAATCCTCCTGATCTCTGCCTCCTGAGTAGCAAGTATTATACAGCTGTGAGCACCTGGCACCCAGAGAGATACATAGATTTTTAAGTATCAGTGGTTCATCCAAGTAAGACAAGACTGGCTTGGAGTATGAGAAATATTTGGATGGGAGATACAGACTGGGAATTGAAAGAATAGGGAAAGCCATCCAACTAGATAGGAGGAACATGGAGTAAAGAATGAATACATGGCATAAAAAATGAAAAACACTGGAATACACCAATATTTAAGAAATAGTTGATACTGAGATTTTTAAAATATTCTCTAACTTATACATGCAAACGATTTTATTTGTAAAATATTAACCTTCCAAATAATTACTTTTAATACGCTTTTCCATTATTATAATTCTCAAAAATATTTTCAAACTCTACAGTTAATGACTGGCAGTCCTGACTTCCTGTTAGTCAATGTGCTCCATGACTTCTGCACATGACAGTCTGCAAGCCACACTGCAGCACATCTACTCTTAACCAATGGTATGCTCCTGGTTACAAGGGCCAATTATACTTGTTTCAGGCAGCTATAATTGTTATTATGACACACTTGATAAAATAACAAAAGAAGTGCTCATAAACAAAGTTGCTTCTATGAAAGTTAAGTCAAGTACTCTGGAAATACTGAAAACCTTACCAAAATTCAGTACCTAGGATCAAAACCATAATTACATAAAGACAGGAACACGTTACTGTTAAGTTACCAACTGACAATAAATGCCAGGCTATAAGTCTGTCTCTGCCACACACAAGCTATAGGATCTTTCTGCTAGTTACTTAACCCAAGATTCAGTTTCTTCAACCATTAAATAGTGCCTTTTCAATGTAAGATTGCTCTGAGATTTGCAACAGTATTTATAAGGGGATAACATAGTTCCAAACTCACAGGGAGCAAGTATCCAGTAGGTAATATTTTTTAACCATTACTTGGACAAAGTTTCCTAAAGTAACTAGTTTTAAAGACCTAAAGTTTAAGGTGTTTGATTCTTATGACTGTATTTTACAACTGTCGCATCTGATCCTATGGGATTCTAAAAAGAACTGTGGAAGACTTACTACTTGAGTCTTGATGGCAAAATCTGAACAATAAAACTAAAACCATATCATCTGTGTTCTAATACAATATAAGCCTCATCTTGAAAGCCTTTATATTCTATTCTTGATGTCTTTCTAAACATAGTTTATATATCTCACTAAAGAAAGAATATACTTACATTGATATTTTATTATATTCCCTTTATTTTAAAAAGACAAAACTGGCAATTTCCTACATATTCTAGATGGGAAGATTGTGTCATACTCCTTTGATTTTTGGCATCAGGCAGTGCTGCAATCACAGAGGTTCTTGACCCCAAAGGGCTCAGGGCAGGAATGAACAAGACAGGACATACAAAAAGACTCACTCAGGAAGGGAATGACAAAACATGTATCGAGAGGGCCAGAAGGCTGATGACCACCTGGCAAAGTTTTATTTTTCTCAGCCAGCTTTATACAAGAGACGAAGAGACTTAAACAACAAAAACACTCTGATCATTTACAACTTTTCTGTTTTTGCCATCCTGTATTTTTACTGCCAGTATCCTTGACTAAGAATAAACTTCTTTTTAGTCAAGGAAAACCATTTAGCATTACTTCCCACCGCGATAGAGACATGGTGCACTGGCAGATTCCGACCTTGTCAAAATGCTGCTAAGCCACAGTGACCTTATCAGAGTGTGGCTTTTGGTTCCCAACAAGGCAGTAGGATACAAGTTTTTTGCATAAATGAAATTATATTTCTGTTTTTTCTTAACCTCAAAGTAATCTAAAAGTATGCACATATGAATAAATGGAAAAAAAAAAAAGACTGGGCATGGTGGAGCATGCCTTGTCATCCCAGCTTTGGGAGCCTGACGCAGGAAGTTCCATGAGTTCTAGGCTGGGGCTACATAGTCTCAGAAAAAACAAAACCACAACAAAAACCACTATCTTCTTAGCATAATATTCTGCTATCTCCATAGAATGGGGGTTAGGAAAAATAAGGTAATGGTTACCTAACCATCAGGTTAAAAATGTAGTCTAAAATTACTATTATTTGAGTGGGGGTAGTACTAAGGTTTGAACTCAGGGCTTCGTGCTTGCTAGTCAGGCACTCTACCACTTGAGCCACTCTGTAGCCTGTTATTGTGTTGGGTATTTTGAGACAGGGTTGAGAACTATTTTCCTGGACTGGCTTTGAAGCACAATTCTCTTGCTCTCTGCCTCATGAGTAGCTAGGAATACAGGCATAAGCCACCGGTTCCTGACTATGGTCTGAAATTATGACTATTATGAGTTTGACCTAAATATAAATATACTGATGTTTAAGTTTCTGCCTTTTGCAAGCGTTGCCACTAGATGTAGTCTAAAGGAAACTGCAGAGGTTTTAAAACATGTACAGCATGTTCATGGGCATTTGGTGCTGTGAAGCTACCAAATGTAAAAACAGCTCAAATGACTCAGATTAATATGAAACTTAATAAATACTGAAGCACTTACCAAGATTTATCCAAATTCCACCTGGCTTGAGTATTTTCCATATTGTGTCAATATAATCAATTACATTGTGAGCAGTGTCTATGAAGAAACAGGTTGCAATACAGTCCCAGGTATCTAATCAAGAAAAACCAGAACACGGCACTGTTATATTAGTTTGCTTTAAACTTGCCAGGTACTTCTTACAAAGTATTGATATTTTATTAACTGCAGGTTGGTTACAGAAGCTAACTTCTAACCAATACTATAATCAACATAACCTACTATATAATCATCTATGGGAGATATACTGTAATTCATAAACAATTGTCAATAATCTAATAAAGTAATCAATTTAGAAACTATTTGTGATAACATATCCCATTAGGCATTATCAAATGATATGTGCAAGTTTTGTTAACATATATTCATTCAACTTCTAGCCTTCACTACTTTTTTTTTTTTTTTGGTTGTGGTACTGGTGATTGAACCCAGGGCCTTGCACATGCTAGGCAAGCAATCTACCACTGAGCCACATTCACAGCCCCTAGTCTTCATTTAAATCTGTGGCCTGGCACAGGTAAAAGCACTTGATTGGAAGCACTTGACCCCAACCAAGGACTCTCTGCACCCTCTGCTTTTTCAAACCTTGCTCCAGATGAAAGCAATCCTTGCTTAAGTGAAGCTTTCCATTATTTCACTCCTATTTTGAGACCTTGCTCCGTAACTTTTACCCACAGCTAAGATCATCCATCTGTCCCTTTCTAACTTCAGAGTACAGTTTGTCCCCAAAATTAAAAACTCTATGCTGTAAAACAAAATCAAATAGGTGAAGCATTTCCTATGTTGTTACTACCTTATTCTAAGTCCTCTCTCCAATGGCTTCCTATTTCTCTCAGAGTACAACTTAGAATCTTTGCTGTGGCCCACATGTCTGTTCTCCAACTTTCAACCCTCTGATCATCCCACTGTCCTACCCACTCAATGTACCCCAGGTTCCTCCTGGAGTATAACAAGCAGTCTCTGTACCCCTTCCACAGTTATTCCTTCTGTGTGCAACATTTCCCCCAAATCACTCTTTTGAAGTTCTCGGCTTGACATTTCTCTCTTTAGTTTCTGCTTTTAGAAAGGCCTCCCCTGACAACTCTATATAAAACAGCAGCCTTGGGCTGGTGGAGTGTCTCAAGCAGTAAAGCACCCGCCTAGCAAGTATAAGGCTCTGAGTTCAAACGTGAGTACCAACGAAAAAAACAAAAACAGAAAAAAACAGTAGCCTCTCCCAAGCCACTGTGCACACCCTGGTACCCAAACTTTTCTCCCTCTCAATATTGTTATTTATTTGTTATTGCCTCTCTTCCCCTTCTAGAATTAGTCCCTTGTGGACAGAGACTATATTTTACTCACTGTTCTGTTTTGAAGCCTAGAACATACCTGTTATATAGTAGGTACTAAGCAAATATTTGTTGAAAGAATGATTTTGCTGACCACTCAGCACTGTTTTCTTCTTCCTGTTTCTGCCAATCTCTCGTTTCTCTTTTCCCATTACTATTACCCTTCCTCTCATTGTCTAACTCAAATGTTTTCAAAGGTTTGCCAGGTTGAAATGCAATTTTACAACCTGATTATAAAGGTATCCCACAATCCAGAACCAACATCCTTTTCTGGCCATATTTCTTATTAAATCTCTTTCCCTGCCAGTCTGGCTATGCTGTTGTTCCTCACTACCTTATTCATTCATATGCTTATACTTCTGCCTGACTAAACACTCTTCTTCTCTATCCTTCAAGTCACAGCCTTTCTATAAAGAGCTTTCTCATACTATCTTACTTTCATATTTATTGCATTCCTGATACATTTGTACTTTGTTTACTCATTGTCTTATAATAACAGACCCAATGGAGTCTAAATTTGATTATAAATATATTTCTTTACATTTCCTAACATTGCCTTGTGCATGACCCTGAAAATATTATATATTCTGCCATCAAAATGAATGACCAAAACATTGGTTGATTAAGTTTAGAATAAAGGATGACACCTTCCAAATGCTTGCTTTGAACTTACTGCATTCTGAATAAATCTCCTGAAAATCTCCTGCTGTCATAGAAAAGTTAGAACCAGGAGGAAGACTGTGGGGATCAACATCAGGGAAAAAGATGGGTCGAATCTGATCAGCTGATCTCCGGTTATTGCTAAACTGATGGATCCAAGGATAAAGTTTATATTTATTAATTTCAGAACATCTGCAAAATATGAGCATAAAATTCAGTGTTAACATTTTACCAAGAAAACCTACCTTAAAGACTAAAATATAATCTGTTTGATTGAAGGTTTGCATATATAACTCATTAGAACTTAACAGTGGCAACACTACATCCCACTCAGTTATCTGAAAATGTACAAATACATGTAGATGAGCAACCAATCATGGATTAAAAGACAGGAAAAAAAATTAGAGATATAAATGTAAACTTCATTCAAATTTATAAAAGTGTATTTTTAAACTTCAAACTCAAGTAAAAGCAGTCAAACTCGTTTTCAAAAAATAGTAGTGGCTTCAACTAAAACAGTTTGCTACCTATTTAACTATTTTATATAGCCCTCTTCTTTTTCCCTTCTCACCAACCCCTAAACTCATACTGCCACCTGAGACAACATATTATTTTAAAAAGGCAGCTATTTGTTTTGCTGTAACAACTATCTTCTGACTTTAAAAATAATAACTCTTTTTCCACTACCTTCTATTCTAATAGAGGCCACAGAATTCTCAGAGATCTTTCCAACACATGAGCATACTTTTGTCCATTTTATATGAACTTGATTGAGGAAAACAGTTGTGATTGCTACTCTGAACTCTTAATTCTACTACATAAACTAAAAGGGTGAAGAAGTCTAAGAAACAATGATAAAATACTCCTTCCTGTATCAAACCTAGTCCTGAAGAGTCTATACAGAAATCATTTCAGCTTCATAGAATGCTCAAGTCACTTTCCAAAGTCATTTACTCATCTTGTTTCAACATTCTGTTAACCAGGTAGCATTTTGGTTCAAGTGGTAATTTATATAAGCATTTTGAATTCAACATAAATATGTATGATTTGTATATCATAATCCGATACTATGTATATATCTTCAAATTCAGAATTGTTCAAAAATAAGTCAATCTGATTCTAGAAATTACTATTTCCAGCAAAAAGTAAATTAAATACCTGTTGAGTACAAAGTTGGAAGAAAAGAGCATAAAAAAACTCCATTCATTTCCTTGACAAGCATAACCTAGCATAGCTATTTCCCAGGCCAATCTTCCTAGTCCAGCACCAGGTACCAGAATATTTACTTTAGAAGGATCCCTGAAATGAAATAAGGCAATTATATCCAACCCCTCAAAGAAAAAAAAAAAAAAAGACAAAATCCACATTAACAACTAAAGCTTGCTTAATTATTCAATAAGAATAAAGTTCACTAGGATCCTGACTTCTTAAAATTGAGAGATACTTTTAAAGATCAATTTAAAAAAGAGGTGTAAGGAATTATCATGTGTTCAGATATCAGGTGAGGGTTTTAGTCCCCCAAAATTAGTTTTTTAAACAAAAAGGAATCACCTTATATCTGAAGACTCAATGAAGTTACTTATATTTCTCACAGCTGTCACCCAAACAATCGTCTTAGAAAGATAAGTTACTCCAAAGTGATCCCAATTACATATGAAGAATTTGAACAGAATTATTTCATGAAATAATCAAAGAAAAAATAATTTTACTCCTAAATTCTATGTGTAATACGATGATTTATATAACCAAATAGAATAAGTATATTTAGATTTTAATGTGTCAGTTATATCTCTAAAACTTTATTCCAGTTAGAAAAAATAGGGATGTGTGTGTATATGATGTGCACACTTTAAAGAAGAGAAGAGATACATCCTCTCAGTTGTGGCCTACCTCTATCAGTCACCTAACAAAAATAAACTTATTTTTTATATTGGAATTTGAAAGCTCTTAGCTCTGGGACTTAGTGCTGCTTATGTAAGAGCCTGCCAGGACTGGAGATATAGCTAACGTGGTCGAGTCCCCTGGGTTGAATCCCCAGTACCACCAAAAAAAAAAAAAAAGAAAGAAGAAGCTGCCATAATGGCAGCCTAACCATTCCACCATCTGCCAGACCCACCAAAAAGCCCTACTCTCCAGAATTATCTCTTCCTTTTCTTTCTGTCTGCGCAATCAAAAAATGCATTTCTAACCCCAGTCCTTCAGTGGCTGTTCTCAGCTTAGAGTTCAAAAAAAACCATGGGCTACATATGAAACTCAGTGGTAGAACGTTTGCCTAGCACATGCAAGGATCTGGATCCTTGAACTGAAAAATATATAAATATATAAATAATGTAACACAAAGTAAAAGGATTTGGAAATAAATTCATAGTCTTTATTTAAAAAATTACTAGTAATCAATTTCTGAGTAAATAATAATCAAGTAAAAAAAATTAGAAATCACCTAACCTTAAGGTGCTAATAACAGTACCAAGCACTTTGGTAAGTTACAGAAAGCCAACTTTTTATGACTGCTATTATCAAAATTTCCCCAACTAATCAGAACCACAGAACTCTCTACCCTAACTCGTAGCAAAAAATATATTAACTGTACTCTGTAAGACTACTATTAAAAGGCTATCATCCAATCACTGAGGACATATATAACAAGGCCTTAAAAATTTGCAGAGACTACTACAGAACTACAAATTATTTGCATTATAAAAAGGATTTTAATAGGCATGTAAGAGACATATTAAAACAGATCGTCTAAAACTGAAATGATCAAAAATCAAGCAAGCAAAGAGTGAGATAAACTATTTCTCTATACCTTTGATTTTAGCTATATCTTTTCAACAGTTCTGTGTATAAGGGAATATTAACATAATGTAATATGTTAGCAATAATGTTTATGAAACCAATACACTCCACTATAAATCTTTAAGAATTCTAGTATTTCTATGAAGGTATTTCTGTGGAGAAGATGAAAAATATAAATGTAAGTATAGACCTTAATGCTGAGGTGATTTTGAACCAAGCTGAAACTTTAAAACCCAGGAATATGTGGTTCAGTAATCAAATATTACCTGCTTGAGGTTCTTAGCAAAAAAGATGTAAACAAGCTTACCAAGTTAATAAGGCCTAAATAGGGTAAAATTGTATATTTACTATACATTTAACAGCCCTAATGTACAAGGGAAAAGTCTCAGGAGTGTTATTCAAGAACAGAATGAGGAAAAAATACATCTGTAAGGGCAGAACACCACAGACTATGTGTCTGAAGAGGCCATGAACCCTTTGGCACAAACTATTTTACCAACCATAAATGTTATTCTTGATAAGAGATTATTCTGAATACAGAATAATCTTTGCATTGCAGATTAGAAAACTCCAATACAAAATACTCTTCTTTTGCATCAACATGGTGACACTTGACTGACCTCTGGTGGTAGGAATACATGCAAACTCTTAAGCATCAAAAGTCCTGAATCACAGCTACTCTGTTCAATAAGGTAAAGCCACTAATCACATGTGACTTTACAAATACTTAAAAGGTACAAATTGCAACGTATTGTAAGTGTAAAACAAACCCAGATCTAATAGACCTGATATAAAAAGGAACACAAAGTATCTCAATAATTTTTTAATATTGATTATATGTCAAAATAAATTTGGGTATGACAGGCTATTAAACAACTGGGCTATTATACTGTTTCTATTTTACCCTTTTATGTAGCTCTTACAAAATTTAAAATTACATATATGCCTTGCATTTGTGGGCTGCATTATGTCCACAGATTTTGAACAGTGCTGGTCTAAATACATATAAATCATAAAAGCATTACACTGAGCAGAGGTTAAAGACAGAGCACTGGAATTCAATTACCAGCACCCTGCCCCCTCCAAAAAAAGTTACACTGCGCAAAAAGCAATTGTGAAATTGTACTATAAACCATTAAATCTTAAAATCTTACAGAAGGGTACAAGAGTACAGAAGAGTGCAGAGGCATACACATAGGGAACATGAACACTTAACTTTGCCAACTCCTGATGTATCCTGAACCCCTTTCCCTAACAGTACACAGTACTTCCTTAATTTTCCACTACATGATTTATCAAAATCCCAATTAAAGATATTTAATTATTTCTAATCTTTTGCTATTATGTAAAACTAATCCCCTTAGCATAAATAATTTCCACATATAGAAGTATACCTGTAGAAAGCTTCCCCCAACTTGAACTGTAGAAATATGTATTTGCATTTTGACAAATATTGTTAATCACTCTTCATAAGACTTACTAATTTATTCCTTTACTAGCAACATGCTTTCCTACATCTTCACTAACAGTTATCTAACCTTCAGATCTTTGCAATGTAGTCATTGAAAAATGGCATCTTAGTGTGGTTTTTACATTTGTATTTTCTTAAAAGATGGAGCACCTTATATTTCTTTTTATTAGCTATCTATTTATAACATTTTTTTCTGCTGGGTTATTAATCCTGAATGGCTTACCACTGAGTTATTACTCTAAATTTATGAGCACTTAAAAAAAAGAAAAATAGACTTATGAGCAACACCACCAACAACAGGTGTTGGCGAGGATGCGGGGAAAAAGGAACCCTTTTACACTGTTGGTGGGAATGTAGACTAGTACAACCACTCTGGAAAAAAATTTGGAGGCTACTTAAAAAGATGGACATCGATCTACCATTTGATCCAGCAATACCACTCTTGGGGATATACCCAAAAGACTGTTACTCCAGAGGCACCTGCACATCCATGTTTATTGCGGCACTATTCACAATAGCCAAGTTATGGAAACAGCCAAGATGTCCCAGCACTGACGAATGGATTAAGAAAATGTGGTATCTATACACAATGGAATTTTATGCAGCCATGAAGAAGAACGAAATGTTATCATTCGCTGGTAAATGGATGGAATTGGAGAACATCATTCTGAGTGAGGTTAGCCTGGCTCAAAAGACCAAAAATCGTATGTTCTCCCTCATATGTGGACATTAGATCAAGGGCAAACACAACAAGGGATTGGACTATGAGCACATGATAAAAGCGAGAGCACACAAGGGAGGGGTGAGGATAGGTAAGACACCTAAAAAACTAGCTAGCATTTGTTGCCCTTAATGCAGAGAAACTAAAGCAGATACCTTAAAGCAACTGAGGCCAATAGGAAAAGGGGACCAGGAACTAGAGAAAAGGTTAGATCAAAAAGAATTAACCTAGAAGGTAACACCCACGCACAGGAAATCAATGTGAGTCAATGCCCTGTATAGCTATCCTTATCTCAACCAGCAAAACCCCTTGTTCCTTCCTATTATTGCTTATACTCTCTCTACAACAAAATTAGAGATAAGGGCAAAATAGTTTCTGCTGGGTATTGAGGGGGGGGAGCGGGAGGGGGTTGGAGTGGGTGGTAAGGGAGGGGGTGGGGGCAGGGGGGAGAAATGAACCAAGCCTTGTATGCACATATGAATAATAAAAGAAAAATGAAAAAAAAAAAAAAGAAGAAATTTTGATTTGAAAGAAATTTGAAATACATACCTCTTTGGTCTAAGAGGGCTTTCAGAATGAAGAATAAATTTATCTTCAGCCTCTAAACTACTACTGCATTATCTCATAGTCTATATTTCCTCTTAAAATGGGTTTCTTTAGCTTATCCTCTCATAAACTGTAATTTACATTCTTTACTTTAATCTAAGTAGAAAAAAAATGGTTCTTTAACGTTTGAATATTTTTCCTAATGTCCAACTATGTACAAGAAGAAAAAATTTCAACTGATCAATAGCACATCAATATCTTCTTGGAACAGAGTGAAATGCCAAGACATAACCAATTTTTCCCACAAACAATATCAACGATATGTTTTATTAGCGCTGAATTCTTAAGTCTAAATGATTAGATACTTGAAAAAAAATTAAACATGTTTACATATGAGAAAAAAAATTTAATTAAAAAAATATAGTTGCAGACTTCAATGTGCAACTGTTCTCTAGAGCAGAGTTCAAAACCAATTTAAAACAAAAACAAGTTGGGCACTGATGGCTCACGCTGTAATCCTAGCTACTCAGGAGTCAGAGACCAGGAACTATTTACCTGTGCAAATAGTATGTGAGACCCTATCTTAAAAAAACCCATCATGTACAAGGTGTAGGCCCTGAGTTCAAGCCCCAGTACTACCAAAAAAAAAAAAATAAAACAAAACAAAAACTAATTAGCTACTGAAGTAGTATTTGTCATTGAGCATAACTTAGATGGCATTTCCTTATTAACAAACAGACCCCATTCAGGAGTAAGTCGCTCTGT